ACAATGGAAGTTCCAGTTAGCCTCGTTCAACAGCAAAACGTCGTTTGAACTGAGTGAAGATTTCCGCTGATCTGAATCATTGTATCACTCTGGTGGGCTCAGACAAAGGCAGAGCAAACCATGGTCTCCCGTGTTCAGGCGGTAAGCTAAGTGGAAAAATTCAGATCGGCTTCATTACTTACAAGAAATCTAGTCAAAAGTCAGCGCGTTCGATTGCATTCAAACCATTTTGCAATTGGTGATCAGCAAATGCACCATGTAGGAAAACTCTCGTTACTCATCCCCAACCGAAGTAGTATACTTCATAAGAAATAAAGAGGTGACCAGCTTCCGTGCCACCTTTCGCAAGGTTGAACTGGACACCTGGGGATAGTTTATGCAATTTCCATCAGCATGCATTCGCGCGGTGGGGTAAAGCGAGCGAACCGGCCTTATAATGTAGTTAATTCCTTTGGCCTGAAAGTATTTCTCTGTCGGGGGCAAAATCTTTTCTAACTGCTTGTCCGACAGAACGATGAAAAAACACTAAGTAAAATAACCTATATGTCAGTGCGAAACATACAAAGGTCCAGTTCAGACTATAAAAGTAAACTTTTGTGTTGAATTTTTCTTTAGGTCAGAACTGCTTTTTCTTGTTAGGATATGCTACTTATACGGTTGCTGAAAACTCCATGACAACCCACGACTGTTTTCGCCCCTTTTTCGGACTCACCAAACAAGCCCAGTCCCCGAGTTTTCTTCTGTCAACCTGATGTTCCGCTTGAATCCAAATTGGACGGAATTCACCAACCTCACTCACGTGTACACTGATTCACTTCCAACGGGACAGCTAACTAAATCCAGGGGTCCACTGCGCAAAGGCCGCCCCATATTTCAGCTGGTACGAAGGGCTGTCGGTGGATTTTCAGCAACCTTATGGATACCAAGTTCAATCAAGAAAGTATGCTGTGATATATCGAATATCGTACCAACTGAAACATGAGACGCTCCTGATGCACCGTAATGAGTTGAACAACGACAACATAAGCGAGAGCTTCAGCTCGAATTCAGTTAAGAACCAAATCAATTCACAAATGAGTGTATTCCGTGCAAAATCTGTTTTCTTTGTCAACAACCAGTGGCTAGCCATTTTGCTTTATCGACATTGCTCCTCTCTTTATCTGGTTTCATCATCGAAACCCAACATCTCTCCCTCAAGCTTAGTGCTTATGGGATGTATGCAACTGTTCCTTGTGAATGATCTTGGCCGGAATTCACTACCACTTACCGACTGTTCGGATTAATGCTCGTCCTCGTTAGCCGATCAATAGTCTGAGTACTCGGATTTTGACATGTACTTAGACCTGAATTAAAATTCCGTGGTGGGCAGTTGAATCTCGTTTTCGATGAGTTCTCATTTTGACTCACTGCGCGAACCTGTCAGCAATCATCCTACCAGTGGCCCATGTGCGCCCTTCAGCCGCTAGTGGAGATGGAGCTTAACTTGCTGTGACTTTGATTATTCAAGGTTGTGGGGTTCTTACGTCCCTTCGCGTATGTTTTCACACAGTGCCTCAAGGTCAGATATGCACCGCATCGATCTACCGCGATCTCCCAGGTTGATTCAAACGCAAAACTTAATACAGCACCTTTTTATGAGGTCTCTCTATCATACGGACCGTTTCTCAGTTTCTCTCCACCGAAATGGGTCAGGAAGTAATCACAGTAATCTGAAGGCAGGTAACATCTAGCAGCTGGGGTTACTCATCTGTCAACAAGACAGAGTGCGTAAGTTAGCAGTCCAAAGTGCTGAAAATATCGACTCGTCATATTGGCTCTTGTTCAGCACAAACTGACCACTTCCGATTCGACCTTCGGGTGAAAACTGGCTCACCTTGCTATCTTTTTCTCATATTCATCAATTGCTGATCGCACAAATATGTACGAACGAGTCACAGTGCAACTTACAGTGCTCCACAATACACCGTTATTTGGTTGACCATAAATACGTACGAAATTCCCGTCTGTTGGATCATCTTTGCATAAACCCCAGGAGCGATAAGCTTTCTTGACGTAATCTACATCTAAAAAAGACACTTCTTAATTGATCCGATGTGCAAAACTATGCCCTTTCACCTCTCGCATTGCACCATAGTCGGGATCGTTTAGACTTGGAGACGATTACAAGTTTCGCTGTGGTCTAGCTGCGTGACCCTGCATATGCTCCTATCCTGCCGAAACGAATCCGTTGGCAAACGCTAAATAGTGAGCGAGAGCTGCAGTAACCTGAAAACCAGCAATCGAAGCCAGATTCCCGTATCAGATTAAAGCCACTGAGGCGAGCTAGTTATGGTTATTTTGATTCGGATCAAAGCCAGAAAAACGAAGCCTTTGAATACTATCGAGGTAAAAGATATTTTTAGAACCTGATGGACTGGCAGTGTAAGGAGGGGTTGGTTATGAATATTACCCTGTTTCTACTATCCTTACAACTTTTCTACAATTCCAATTAAACTCACAAAAACCTCCGGAATATCTGGTAGATAAACCGTTGGTAGAAGTGTAGCATTCATAAGCAAGCTCGTTGGGGTAGTCATGTTGAGTGAGAACCCAACCGACATTCTTATCCGCATTAGGTGAAGTGAACAATCCACGAAAGCACATACACCGTTATGATAATTTCCACGGTCCAGAAATATCGGCTAAGCTGAACATTTTCCTCACCCCTACTGGATGCATGAGCATCAACATAGTAAAAGCATACACGATAAAATGAAGTTCCCCACCGAGCACCAACTGTTAGTACCTTTGTTGTAGTGCGTTCTACTTTCGTGTGTGTTAATTTGGACCATTGGTCTCTGAAAGTAGGAGCACTTGCAACGAGATTGTCCCGAAAAAAAGGGAAAATATCCGACAGGCGAGAACGTAGCGCTTGCATGTGTGGACCTCTAAGAAGTAGCACTTGTGCTTATCGGGATGGCTTTTCATTCCAAGTATGCAGTGTTCAACTCTAAGGGGCTACTCAGTTGAGAAAGCAAGGGTCAACGATTCCATCGAATCGGTCAATGGCTCTCACTACTTCGCTGTTGGGTATTTGCTTAGAACGCATAGACAGTCAGCTGATTCACCACTGACTACTATGGAACGATTGCGGCAAAGATCTAGATTAAGTTCAAATGACAGCAAATTCCCACCCTGATTATGTATCAGTAATCACACTGTCCAGAATTCATAATAGTACGCGTCAAGATTGGTAATTTTTAATGGCATCGATCGAACTCTTCGATCGATGCAGCGGTCTGAGAATGTGTTCAATGATGGCATTCAAACAAGATTACTGCACTTTCAACCAAGTGAGTAATCAAAGACGGACGTGACCTTCCACCCAAGTTCAAAACATGTAAGGGGGCATTGGCTGCCACTCGTTTTTAGTCGAGGTGGCCTGGTCTGTCTGTGAGGAGGATACATTGTATGTGGCCCCATTATCTCTTCGTTCATTTTGGATTGCCAGAAGAAATCGATACTGATAACAGTAAATAACTCTGAAGCGAGAAATTCACTAGATTCCTAAAGATAGTACCCTGCAACCATCCAGTGAAAGGAACTGTTGGTCGCACGAACCAAACACCAAAGAGAAGCAACGGGATAATTACTCCCTAAGGGGAACTCTGAGAAGACACCATTATTGCCGCAGTGGTGAAACAAACGACCGATGTCTGAAAAAATGGTGGACTTGATTTCTGGAACGTTGGTGTTAAGAACAGAACACAATGCGCCACAGCTTCGAAACACTTCTGGGCCACCGGGAGAAGTCACGAAGCGAAACACAGTGTTTCAAAGGGTCGAAATGTTAAATTCATTTGATTGTCAACGTGCTGTCACCTGGTGCGTAAGTCACCGGTATTGACGGAAAGGTGAGCGTCGCTTACACTGAGCAGACCGTCACCCGAGCTAAACAACATCCCAGTGCGAAATACCGTTGATGGTTCACCGTCTTCACGCCCCAGCGGGACTAGCTTCTCAACTGATTGATACAGTCAACTTCTACACGGGGCGAAGATGATACGTCTTGGACTGACGGCTTCTCAGCCATTCGTGCACGTGATATGCATGTGGTCGCTTTTCTTTGGCGTTATACGGTGTGGGACACTGCGTTCATGAACGTGTGACTACTGGACAACGTCACCTGTTTGGACAGCCGGTCAACCAATGTAAGGCTGTCAATAGCCTGGTGTTATTCTCATCCCCACGATTCGGTTCCTCCCTGAGTTGCGAAGTTCTCTAAATACGGATACTGTTGCTTGATGTACCGAACTATAGATCCTATATTCTGGTGCATGCCACGGATGGTCAGCATACTTCTACCCCACTCTAAATATCGATCAGTTTGCCAGTGAGTCCTCAATATTGTATGTTCGCAATTACCAAGGTAAAAGTTCAGCACACGTTTGAAGAACCTGAAGTAAACCGAAATTGTTTCATCAACGCTCGTAACGGGGAGTTGAAGTGGGAAAAATAAAATAGCCGGAATGCAATCTGGTGTTATGTACTATGGCACCTAAGAGGATTACGCATTCTTCTAGCGCCAATCAGTTGATGCTGTGTTTTATTCTCAGAGGAAATTCTTGGAAAACAAACCGATAATGATTCCTTTGAGGGATTAGAGATCATTGTAGAGAGATCATCTTATTTCTAAAGTACCCGAGAGTCACTCAAAAGGCTTCACGACACCACTCAAGGTTTCATTCGGGGGTTTGGGCAGGAGAACTTGAGGTGATTACATTCCATGTTAACTGAGACAACTCGTTTTCAAAATGTTAACACACTATCAGTGGTTTAACATTCCCGCTGAAAGACCCGCTCATGTAGGACAAACAAAGCCACAGTTCACAAGTAACTTGGGTACAAATGGTAGCTTTTTTCAAAGACGTAAACCAACTGCTTACAGCTGGCACCTTGGCAATTGTGCAGTGGAATGTTAAGGTAAAAACCGACCAAAACTCTGGTGTAAGTAAGAAGAAATGCGAAGTGATGTTTTATATTTACAGCTCAGCTTTCCTCAATCTCTAAGTAGTAACTATTCAGGTTGACTTGCGAGACAAATTATGGAAGGGGGAGGGGGAGAGGTGGACGAAGTTAAATGATGATCTTGAAATCCGGACCTAATTCTTCGTCTGAAGGTAACTTGACGCGCTCCGGGGGAACAAGATCAGGAATAATCAAAGGTAGACCATCCCGGCGCCGTCTTTCGAGTTCCAAGTATGCCTCACGACGACACCATTCCTCTTGACTGGAACATCAAAAGTTAAAACGACAGGTGAAGACAATAAGTCATGCGACCCATAAAATCATGAACTTATGGAACTTTCAGTAGCAACTAGTAACAACAGGCCTCGTACTGAATGGCTGAGTATACGCACTTGATAGCAACATGTAGTTACTATTCATATTTGTCACAAAACTAGAGTGCCGACGCATCCGAAGCTCCGCTAATTTTTAGGAATGACCAAACAGACTAATTGCTGGCGGTCAAGTATTCTCATAGCAGGAAATACGCTTACCAGCAAGTCCCTTGTTATGGATAATCTACAGGAACCCTACAGAAATTATCAGGTCATTCGCACAGGAGAATGTCCTGTGGTGTATTAGCCTTAAAGTCCGAGGCAGTAGTCGTTTTGATCTTCACGCATGTAAAACTGACTAATGTGATATGAGGTTATCGGAAAACGAGGTGCAGTTGAAAACTAGTGCTATAGAATTCTTAAAGAAAAGCAGAACGAGGCAGGTGAAGCGAAGAAAAAAGTGGTCCAATCGTACTGCGCTGGTGTGCAGCACAATTCCCAATATAACCGGAAAAAGGTGACCAAAAGGGTTCAACCAAGTTAGTTACAAACCCAAAGTTAGTGGCAATGCCAGCCATTGTATAAGCCAACCACAGATCTTACGCATAAGTACCAAACGAGTGACCTACTAGCTTGGCTTTCAATTGGTATGCAATATCCACTGCGATTTGTGTACATCACCAAAGCAACCCAATAGGACCACAGGTTATGCTGATACTATTCTTTGGCACCGGTACACTTGTTCTTTCCTAACCCACCCACTTGAGAATGATCTTTGCACGGACAAGTCGATAACCGCGAAATTCAGTCCGTCAACTATGAGCCGTGTATCAAAGGTACGTCGTTCTAGCTGATACAGTTTCGGCCACCCAAAAATGGGACAGTGTGGGAGACAGTCAAGTATTGGAGAAGATGGTATGATGAATTGTTCTGGAAATCTGGGAAGGCGATTAGCTTTGGTGCACGAGCGCAAATGACTATGGTTGGGCAATTTCCGCCAGTGTCACTAACAATTGGTGAGTTGATTCCCGGGGACCACATCCAAGGAGGCGGCGCTTGTCACTTGACAGAGTTTACCGGTTGGCGTTTTCATGCTCTGTTGCTAGGTCATGGACTGTCCACCACTCAGCACAGGACTAGACAAAAATAATTCTGTCCTCTGGCATGCGAAGCGCATGCTCTAACCAGTGTAACCTATGAGGTATGAGTAACTCATTCATCGTGTGAGAGTTCCGTTTTTCCTAAAACCATTTGGCGTGCATCAGAATTGATAATCCGATGTTCCCACCCAACCTGATCACTGCTTTGAAGACAATGATGATCAGACACCGGCAACTCTCATACATTCTCTGCGCCTATAGGCCAAGTTTCCGATCCATGAAGCAGTACGGGTAGAACTGTTACAGTGCATACTCTGCACCTGACGGACAAACTGATGTCAGACAGACGTCATAGGAATCAGAGAGTGATAAAAGTTGTTCTTGTCTTTTCGATTCGAGATAATCTCGTCTTCAATTTAGAAAAAAATTCAAGAAACTGTCTGGGTATTCTTTCATTTGACTCGTTGACTGACTGATCTACCAGCATGAGGTTTGATTCCACCCAGCCTTGTAGCAGCCCGGAAATACACGCGCCCCTCTCTCACGCAAGAAACCAACCTTCGAACGCTAGCCTTAGGTTTATCTGGCAACTTTCACCGTTAGGATCCTGAAATAAGCACAGAATACTGCTTTTACCTATACGCTGGGATAGCTTCCCGTCAATGTGTTATTATTCTCAGGCTGTCACTGAATTAGATGAGTCGTCAGTGCTGCCTCGCTTGCTTGAAGAACTTAACAGGAACTCAGCTTGCTGTAATGCTCGACAGGAATTGGGATACAAAACAATCCTTAGACGCTTTCCCTTTGAAAACGGCTCTCATTCATATCTACTTCGTGTTGAGTTTGTGTTCACCTTACAGTAGACCAAACCATTGATCATAGCTTTCTGACGAGGCAAGACTTTATCATCGCCGGACGGCTGATGTATCTTGATAACTCATGGAGCTCTACTAGGAAACAAGTGTTCAGCATAGCACAAACACCCATACCAAAGTAATCAGTGGGTACACCTCAGCTACTATTTTGCACATTCAATATGGCCATGTACAATGAACGTTAAGCAGTGCCATGAAAGGCACTAATGGAAGGAAGAACGCGTTCGTTCCAGGAGCTCTTGACTGTGAAAAATGAATAAAAGGCTGCAATAAGTGGAATACGAAAGCGAAAGACCTTATCGTAACGGCTTGGGAAATCCCATGCTCTTGAATGTATTTCGAACCTTCCTGTGTGCCGTTTGAACAGTTGGCATCCAGGAAAGAACACATCCGAATAGAACAGCAACTTCTAACTCAAATTTCGGGTAACTACGGGGAGGGTATTTCAAACCGCGAATATAAATTGCCTGAAGTTTCATCAGTAGTGTACACCGTTAAGCAACCCCCGAAGTTCGTATATACACCATCGATGACAACTTCGCTTTAACTCGGTCCACCACCACTCCCGTTTACTAGTCTTGATGTTGACTGTCATTAATAGAGTAAACGTTATTACATAAGGATCAACAACGACAAACGGACCCTGCCACTGTGTCTAACTTTTGAGGTCCGACTCCCCTACTCTCCGGATCCTGATAATCTTTCCATTTGGCCTTCGCGCCTATGGCAAATGGTTAGGTTTTTCTCATTGCTACTTTCCAGCTAGTTTCTGTACCGTTTCCAATTGTTTTCGTGCGTTCCCCCTTTCCCGCACCACCTCGTCAAAAAAATCGTTCAGCTGTAGCACCCTTCCGGTGCCCAGCTGCCATGCCACACGGAGGAGACATGAGGGTTGGGATACTGCCAGGTTGCCCAAGCCTAGACAGGGGAAGTCGAGAGGCTGAGGTCGGGTTCGAACCACGGACCTTCCGGTCAGCAAAGTCGCGCTCTAACCACTTGGTCCATCTCGCCCCTCCCACACCACCTCCTCCGAATACAAGTATGTAGTTGGCCACAAACCGATTTTCTGACCGAAGATGTGGATGCCAAACGCAAATAAACGCGAAGAAAGATTTACCGAGGCACAACATACGGAAACAATTGACAGGTTCGTTTGCTAAGTACTTCCTATGCTCGCCAGCCTTTCCTCAACAATCTGTTTATTGCGCTTCGTAAGACCATCTGTCTGTGGGCAATAATAATCAGGCAATTATTTAAGTGTAACACCATTTCGGTGTCCACCTACCACACAACCGGAATTAGGCGCGAGGGTTGCCCAAGCATAAGCAGCAATATTCGAGAGACCGGAGTTGGGTTCGAAACACGGACCTTCCGGTCGGTAAGCTCGCGCTTTAACCACCTCTTAACATGTTGCTTTTAAAGTGCCATAAAAACAATCCGAAGCATTGAGTCATCTCGAGCTGCGGATGATAGGGTGTCATGCTTGACTGTACGACACCGAACCGTTGCAAGAAATTCCTGAACTTAGTTGCATGTTTGTTCCTGAACTCTCCACTTTTAAACATGGTCCTTGATCTCTTAGGATAATCTTCGGTGCCTCGTAGTTCGTAACAATGTGATGGATCATCACAGCGTGCTTGTGATTCACAACCACTATGCTGGTCCACACGCTACAGAACTTCAGAAGGCGCAGTAGTTAGAGACAGCCTTCAACTGAGACAAAGGAAGATTGTTACAGCTGTGATCAGATAATTTTCCAAACAATCAACAAACATTTTAGATGGCTAAATACTTTTGGTCAGCATTAGTCAAGAAGTGACCGGTATATTCAATAACACTATCCCTCCGCCTCAGTGGTACACGGGTGCTACGGTCACTGGCGTCCGGTGAGACGAAAAATACCACCCTCATTAAGTGGATGAGAGTGAGTTGCCAGTTTAGAAACTGGAATTTGATACGCTCGGAGGTCTTGTGGGTCTCACTCATTAACTGAAACTTCTTCTCATCATGGAGTAAGCCGTAAAGTTGGACGGTGATTGAAGTGAAAACCTTAAAAAAAATCTGCTTGTCCCAGGACAGTTTTGAAATCGCGACTGAACAATCGCTGTTTTTTTTCCAGTTCCTCCGGAAGTGACTGGGCTTATTTCTACCAGCCCTGTGATAGGGAGACGTTATAGAACTCCTAGCGAGCTGTGCCCTGACTTCATTGTTGCACAAATCAGCCTCACGGATAAGCTTCAATAGGGTCTTTGAATGCATGGTATATTCTAGTTCCGAATCGCGCCAGCATCCTGTATTAAATAAACGAAAAACTAGGCTCCGTAATGAATGGCGTCCCTGACAAGATGAAAGTTGTCTTCCTGAGTTGATATTGGGTGTTCCCAACGGCAAATACCGTTTTCTAACGATTTTCAGACTCGACTTGATGGCCAGTTGCCAGTAGTAGCAACAAGGTGAAATATCGGGATTTCTGAAGCAAATAAAAAACCTCTGCGACTGAAGAGACGGTCGCTGTGGGACATAGGGTCAGTTCAAACGGTGCAAATTAACTGCAATCATTCTTCAGCTGCTACGCCACCCGAAAAAGACGCGAGAAGTGAGATACTGCTTGCCCAAGCCGGTCGCTGTGGGACATAGGGTCAGTTCAAACGGTGCAAATTAACTGCAATCATTCTTCAGCTGCTACGCCACCCGAAAAAGACGCGAGAAGTGAGATACTGCTAAGTTGCCCAAGCCTAGATAGGGGCAGTCGACATGTGTAGATTGGGTTCGAACGACGGACCTTCCAATCATTAAGTTCACACCTTAACCATTGAGCCGAAGGTGCTCAGGTGGAAATCAATGTAAAATTGTTAGTTTCCATCTGCCTTGTTAACAGGGACCACCGGGAAATCAGTTACTGTTAAGCCCATCAATTAGGCTACTTTTACGCCTATTTGTGGACCTCATCCTGTAGATGAGGCGGTATCTGAT